TTGTGATAGGTACTTATCTCTACTCATATACATAGCTATTCTCATTCATTGCTGCCCTCTATATGCAAAAAAAATCAAATTTTATGATGCCACAAGCCTTTTATTTCCCCTCAATTGGAATTGACTGATTCCAATGCATCTCTCATGCAAATCATGCAACAACCCTCCACCAAAAAGAGTATGACATACTCTCTTAACGCACGTGACTATCTCTATTTAATTATACCGAACTATCACTTCAAGTTTTGGCAGAAGATAGAGGCATCAGTTTTCAGTGGGGAAGAAGAGTGGAAATTGTGAGAGGGCGAAAGTATCTATTGGAAATACATTTTCAGTACAGAAAAATTATAAATTCCAATACAGTACATTACATTTTCTCACATAAATAGCTAGAATTCCCCATTGAATAGGTGGAAGGACTGGTGCAAGGGAAAGAAAGCATCCAAAGGACACTCCCCAAGATGAGATAGTCAGATTCTCTAAGATATGATGTGGGATACTGCACCACTTCTGAAACAGGTATACTCTTCTCCCATTGAAGAAAAATGTTGCACATATGGGTGGAAAAACAGAGGAGTAGATCCAAGTGGGAGACATCTAAAGTGAGATAGTGATCCAAACCATACAATATTTATGAAACTATATTCCAGAAAATATAAAAGTGGGTAAAATTAAAAGGTTAGGGCATGACAGACCGTACATGGCAAATCAACTACAATCCAAACTCCGGCCACTGGGTACTAACATTCAAGTAGAGGTAGGAAAGATGATCATATGACTGGCAAGTTTACTATGATCCAAAACCCAGCCACCTGGTGGGGGTAGGAAAGAGAATCATACCATCTTCCCCACAAGTTCATGAGACTGGTGGGAACCTAGAACCCTCTGACCCATGAATGGGGCATGTTATTATAAGAAACTGATAGATCCAGGAGCCCAACATCCGGTATCGAAAATATATCTGCGTAATATAAACCATCTCCCTCAAAATTAAAACTGACTGGAACTGCCCCAAGTGCAGTAACATCCTCATGATAATAATCATCGAGGGATAGCTGAAGAGGAAGAAAAATAACTAAGAACTTATTTCAAAATAGCAATAATCTATATACATATATAATGTAGAATAATTGAAATGTGACAGTATTTTACAAAACACAAGTTGACTAAAACACAGCCAAGACAAGTTACTTTGTACAGACCAAAGGTCACCTTTATGTTATTTGATACCGTAACAGGAGTGCACGTGAGACGCGTTGTTGTAACTTCTGTATTATTAGGGTGAAAGGCCAATTTAATAAAAAATAATAAATATATATAAATGTATAATGTTATGAGATTTAAGCTATTTCATTCAAACATTTATGTTTTTGTGTTATAATTTGTGTTC